TTTGTGTTTTGCGTGAAGAAGATGAGAGAGAAAATAAATAATTATTATTATAAATAATAATAATTATTATATATAACGTTGAAAATATATTATATAATGAATAATATATATAATAAAGATTGGTAGTGATAAAAAATTATTGTCTTGAAATAATTTTTTTCGAAAAAATTTTAATAAAAATTTTTATTATTTTTATTTTTTTTTTATTAAAGAAATATTGTTTTTTTTTTCTTTTTGTTAATTTACGAAACTTCAGGCTTGTATTTATATAAATTTATTTTATATTATTAAATTATTTTTTTTTTTTTTTTTATTTTAAAATAAAAAAAAAATTTATTTATTTATATCATGTATTTTAAAAAAAAAAAAAAATTATTTTTAAATGAAATAAAAAAAAAAATTTTATTTATGTATATTTATATTTTATTTATTTATAATTTACTTTTTTGTTTATAATATAAATGATTATTAGAATGTTTTTAAAATAAGTAACAAAAAAAAAATTTTTTTAACACAAAATAATAATATTATTAATAAATCATCATTATTAAAAATTAGGGGCAAAGGTTCAGGAAAAGGCGGCGGTGGCGGCGGTAAAAGTAGCGGCGGCGGTAAAAGTGGTGGTAGTAAAAGCGGCGGTGGCGGTGGTTTTGCTTCATCTGCCAAATCTTCGGCAAATTCTCGTGCTAATGCATTCAATCCTTCATCTAACCAATACAACCCATCTACAAGTCAAGGACGAAGTGGACAAACATCCCATCAATCGCATAACCGTGCAGCAGATAACAACAGAATTGTTAGAGAAAGTAGATAGTTGCAAAATGAAAAATTTACTATGTTTTTTTTTCAATTGATAACTTTGTTTACATATATTTGTTGTTTGTTGTTGTTGCAGAATATCATTTAATAAAGTTTTGTTAGAAAAAATTTGCCAAAAAATTTTTTTGATGGGCTCCAGCGGGAATTGAACCCACGACCTCTCGCACCCAAAGCGAGAATCATACGACTAGACCATGGAGCCTGTTATTAATAGATAATCAATCTG